CTTGTTGTGATTGGCTGCAAACCACCCGATCGCGCGATTCGCAGGCCAGAAAACAAACGCGTTTCTTTTTGTTGGTCACCGATCGCGTCGATCGGTTTGTGCCACGATGGCCGCTTTGCGCCCTCAATTTGGCTATCCCTGACTACCCGATGGGCCCGGCCCGACCCGATCGCGTACGTGGGCACCCCCTATAAGTCTACATCCCTGTATGCTCTAGCTGATTCCCAACATGATGACTGGCATGATCTCTACGAAGAAACATCAGTGAGACAGGCGCTTGTCAAAATCACGAAACCAAAGAAAACGACATTAAATTTGTCCGCCGGTTTTGTAATATGTTTTCGAATTTTAGTTTTCTGGTTCAACACCTTTTAGGTCTATATAAAAGCAAATTTCTGTCTGGGTTTAATTTAAAAAACGTAGATAAGGGGCACAAAACATGTACATTTTCATTTCCCAAGGACAGCTTCGGAAAATGACCAAATTTTGTGGCCATTTTCTCGGCAAATTTACCTCCCAAATCAGGAGACCCCCACCTTCTTCAATCAGAAATGTCTCGAATTCTATTCAAGATAGATGGGTATTTGTTTCATCGAGTGAAATACAACTGAATAAGCTGTGAGATGATAATACCAACTCAACATGCCCAAAAATTGACGAGTGGCTAATTCCACAGCGCCTTGAGAGTATTCTTACAGTACCATTTTCTTCCCTGGATGCCCCAGTATCCTAAAGACATTATTACCACGTAAGTCTTCCCGTCGTCAACGATCCCGGGGCTTAGCGAAGTATCAACACTGCCAAGTCCAATTTGGCAGATAGTATCGAAATGTCTACAAATATCTTGTTTGTGATGCTGGACGTATCGATTCCTCATGTAAAGCATGTATGTGTAAGCGTGCCCGGGTGTGTGTATGTGTGTGTTTTGTCTGTGTGTGTGTGTGTGTGTGTGTGTGTGTGTGTGTGTGTGTATGTGTGTGTGTATGTGAGTGTGTGGTTTTTTTGTGTGTGTGCCAGTGAGTGTGTGTGTATCAGCACAAAATTGCATCTAACCGAAATTGAATACAAAATCTTATTAGAGGCCACACTCATATGCAAGTAGAAAGTTTCCACAGCGTCTTTGAGCGGTGGCTTTAAATAAAAGACATTTTCAGAACTGCAATTTTTATAATTGTATAAACGAAGACCGTATAAAGTGGAATTTGTTAATCACATTTTCCTCCATGATTTTGCCAAAATTGTAGTTCACAAAACTGTCAGGTCGGGTAGACAAAAAGAAGACCAAACTGTTAATGCAGTATGAAGCCTCTGATATACATAAGGAGAAATTCTTTGCAGACTTAACTCTAACGAAGAGTGGGAGAGTCTTCTAAAGTCCAGAGACAGGAAAAACGTAACAAACAGTTCCCCACCACTGTATCATTCTATTTATAAACAGCAAAATGTAATTTTCAGGATCTGAGAGACAAAAAGGGTATAAGATTATGAAAGATGATCATTCAGTCATTCATGGGGTATAGAATTTTGACATAAATCAAGTTCTCAACCCATCCACCACCCCCTCCTCAAAGGAAATACACTTACATAGAATTGGAAAAAGAAGGATAGAAAGAGAGAAAGCACACAAATGAAGGAGTATGATTTCATAAATTACATACAATATCCCATTCAAGTAAGAGTGAGAGATGTTTATAGTGGTAAAATAATGAATAGCTTTCTGTCTCACTCAGTCTGTAATTTCATTCTCAGTTTTATATTGGTCTCTTAATGACTTCCCTATAACAGTATTTCGTGCTTTCAAATATTTTTAAACATACCAGGTCCTCAAATAAGAGAAAACACACTGCCTAATAACCGTGAATACAACACCGCGTTCCCAAAAGCCTACTGATGAAACCATCTGTGTGGAATTCACGACCGCATCAGGCGAGATTCGAATATGAAAATCGTGAATCCCACACTTTTTCGAAAAAATGACCATCTACGGTAAAAATAAAACGTACTACAGTATTATTTCTAAAAGGTAATTGATTAGATTTATCCATTTAGTTTATATCTTGGACGCCAAATGACGGAGAAAATCAGTTTTTTTCCCTCTCCTGTAAAATTTGCTTCGTGTGGAATTCACGATTTCATCAGGTGACCGACAATAGAACAATTAGCCTTATGAGTAATTTTACAAAAATATTGCTGCGAGTAATAATGGGAAGATTGAGAAAACGTGTAAGACCAGAGATATCTCAAACGTAATTCGGCTTTGTTCCTGACAAGGGACACCAGAAATGCTACATTCACCTTAACAATGTTAATGGAACGATGTATTGAAGCTCAGAAAGATCTGTATTTATGTTTCACAGTCATATATTATTCAAAGGCGTTCGATAAAGTTAGACATGATGAGCTATTTAGAATACTGGAAAAGCTAGATATAGATGGAAAAGATCTAAGAATTATCAGGAATTTGTACTTGGACCGAAACGCTGCTGTACGAATTAATGGAGAATACAGTGA